GGAGATCAAGTGTGGCTATATCTAGATCGAGTTAAGGAAGGCTACGCTCGCAAGCTCGCGCATATGGGCTCTCTCAGGGACTTTCGTAAATCTGGTAAGATAAGTAATAGTCTCGAACAGGCCAATCCACCGAAGTTCGATTCTATCGATGGCATAACTTGGATGCAATATATGGAACGCTAGGATCGATTCAGTTTGTTTTTGCGACTCGTTCATTTTGCAGTATGATATGTTGAATTTTACACTCCGGCGAGCTTCCCCGAATATTGGGCAAGTAGGCGTTCGTTGTTGTAAAAAGTAAACTTGCCTTTCCAGGAAAGAATTTTTACACAGTCAGACGAAGAGGACAGAGGTCCCCACAGTGATTTCATTTAGTTTAAGGCGATACGGTATGTTAGATTTTATCGATGTGGTAACTACAGTTTCAGTCAAGGAGTACTTTGACCTACATGGAATTGAGTGGCTAGCAAGTATTCTCCCTTCGGCGCTCAGAAATAACGCTACCAGAGCAAGGCCACAGAAAGAAAACTATAGAAAAATGCCTTATCTGAGCTGCTACAGGGTATTGACAACCGACGACACTAAGCCTGAGGCACAAAGCATCAGGAAGTCGCTATTGGTTCTGGTATATCTGTGGGATATAATAATACTCACAGATCCGATATATTCTGATGTTACGGTAGCTGAGAACTTGACAGCAGTGGCCTGCCAATACAGAACTAATTGTATTGGTGTCTGTGTTCGCCAATAATAAATATTTCAATTTGCGTAAAGCAGTCATTAAAACTAACGCATTTTATTTTATTGCCGAAAATGTTTAAGTACTTTACTATCGCATCCGCACATCGAACATCATTCCAGTAGTGATAAGTATCTCCCAAATGGTCGGGAGAAGTAAATCCTAAGTTCTTTATAACAATAATCCGTACTTTTGCGAGGCTTTAATTTGTCAAAGTACTAATCTTCGACGAAATCATACATGTACCACAGGCGTTCAAAAATACACAACCCGTACAGCATCAAACAGCACTGTAGCAGGTTAGGCTAAGTCCTGCCCATTTGTCTTCGTATCACACCTTCGCTGTGTTTGCGAACCTTGCGAGCCTTTAAAGTTTCAGCGCTCATAAGATTGATAATTATACCCTGTTAGATAGTTACAGTGTTCTTTGCCGTCCATACGTCATCATGAGTATGGATCCGAGGTACTACATGTAGTTAGTTTCAGATCCTATCCCAGCCTCTCGTAGCCCTAGTAAGACGTCAATGTCCATTAAATATTTCCGGTTAACAAAACATACAGCCGATTTAAAAAATAGTTGTAGCTTTAATTGTGAAATGTCATTAAACAAAATTACATCATGGCACAGTTAGCATAACGTTTATAACAGCACCAGTTTAACCAGCTGGAACCTTTCGCAACCTGGTAACACTGCAGCGTTCGACGCTGAACTTGCTACGGAACAGAAATAGAGCGACTAAATTACATGCGGCATATGTCCAAAAAAACATACATGCATCCTTTAATTAGCAAGAGGTTAGCATGGGTACACTAAACAACTATAATAAGGCGTGCGACTTTCATTCGGGTATTATAGACGATCGACATGACAAACGATTTACACTTTGTGAACGGATGCAAGACGTATGAGTTTAGGACCGATAGAATGATGAGATACGGAAAATGTACTTTCAAAAACAGGTTGAATCGAAGCACACTCCTCGAACTTTTGCGTTGTGGATTCATTTCTTTTTATGGCCAGCGTGTTTCTATATGATCTTGCTTATCAAAGCGTAACTTCACAACTACCGCCGTGGATACTTTCGTATTTTCACAACAACGCACAGTCATGTACGCAGCACGCTGCAGTCGCACACGCCAACAGACCTTTTGCGCGCGCCGCGCGCACCGCAGTTTTTTTTACTACTATATACTATAAACAATTTATCGTTAATAATAATTCTAACTATGCTATGTTAGATGAAGCAACCTTTCCAGATCGCACCACCTTCGAAATAGTCTATTCTTCTTACGTAAGAGCAATACACAGGTTCCAAGCAAACTGTATATAGAATCAACATTTTAGAGCTTTATCTGACCAGGAGCCTTTTTGTAATAGAAAAGGGTCTCATCAAAATTGCTGTGGTGCGGGAGACTGCAAACAAGTCTTTTATATTGTTTTCCTTTAAACTATTCCAGTCAAAGCAGACCCTAGCAATAACTACGCATGCTACGTGCGTCTCTTGCTCCTGTTTGTAGCAGCACCATCTGCTTCGTGCGGAGTTCATGACGATGAAGCTGTTTTTTCTTCTACCAGATTCACAATGTAAATAGAGACGCTTTCAAAAACGCAAAAATTCGGTGGTTTATGAAGCGACTGCAGTAGGTAGCATGCACTGCCGAATAATACATGCACTTGCTTAGTATTGGGTCAGAGTTGATGTCATTTGAAAGCAGATATCTTCTGCATATCTACAGCAACACTGCTTATACAGTTATACGCGTTTTTCAAATGTCAAAACACTGCTGGAATCTGCTGCGCTCGATAGGACTTGACTACAGCAGGACTCAGTTTACCTGCTTCAGTCACTGACTTCAACGAATTAACTGGGCTGTCCCAGCAGCAACTGATTTCTCAGAAGAAAAAAACTATATGATTTAGTATACCGTCGGCGGCATACATTGAAAACAATTGTAAAAGAAGGTAGACAAGTACAGAAGAGAAGCTTTAGTGAGGCAGGCGACTTGTGGGTTCGCCGAGTTTATTCGAAGTGAGATTGTCCTTCTTGCTCTCCCTCCTTACTTTCTGTGTCCTTTCCCAGCTCAACTGTAGCGTGCAACAAAAAAAAAACTATAGAGGAGAAAAGCTCTTCGGCATAAAACCTCTCGGGACAAAAGGTAGCAGCTCACTGACCAGTACTTCACAACATTTTTGGAGAAATTGAAAGGTTCAAAACCCGGTTGGTCGTCAAAGGCTTCATGCAGGTGTACGGGATCGATTATCTGGAGGTGTACTCTCCAGTAGTCCGATTAGAAACTTTGAGGATGCTATTGACACTAGCAGCGATCTGGGACTACGAGATCGACCAGATGGACGTAACCACTGCATTTCTGAATGGGCCGATGGATGTTGAAGTGTATATGGAGCAATCCGAGGGGTATGTGCAAAAAGGAAAAGAAGACTGGGTCTGCAAGCTGGAGAAGAGTTTGTACGGGCTGAAACAATGCCTGTTTATTGTCTGATGTTTAAATGAATAATGAGCTGTCTATAGAAGAGTTTGACAGCGGATTTGATCCGGATTAGTTCATGTATCGAAACGACAACTACAATAACAATGCGGGCCGGGTGTATACAATGCATCAGACAGAACCAAGAAAATTGTTTGTTTTTTCTAAGTCAATGCGATCATGGATGGTTTTCCCTCCGCAACTCGATACCTCGTAAAAATCCATGCGAATGTGATAAAATATAAATGGATTCACTTGGTATCTGTATTGCATGGAATTGTGTCTAAAACACAACACACGAGCATGAATTAGTTGGACTCTCGTAACGAAGCATTACCTGTATTAATCCTTATGGGGCTGTACGTACTTCGTAGCCCAACCAGGAAAACTGGAGAATACTAGGTGAAACTGCAGTTGGAGACAACAGTGGAATACTACATGCACTAGACTTTTGAGAACAATTTTAGCAATGAAAGTGACCAAACGCAGCAGTGAATGCGTTGGTGTTTTTTTTTTTTTTTTTTTGCTTGTGGGGATACTTGTTTCGCAAGGACAACAGTTTGACTTTGTGAAGTGCTCTGTACTTTTGTAGTATATCGCAAATTCGATTGACTGAGGTTGTTGCAGACGATTTCTATATGCTGTGACAGACATTGATAAATATAGAACGGAGATGCTACGAAAGTAGTTGAATTAACGATTTCATGTTTGTCGTCAAAGTGAAACATTCAATTCTCAACGTCGAATCTGTTGATATCTTCAAAAAGTACCCATATAATAATCAAATGTTTCTACAATTCAAAATAACCGAAAAACATTCCAATGATGTCTACTTCAGTAGCATTATTCAAATCTCATCTTCCACGTAATACGCCATAGCTCCGGCAGCTACACACAAGTATCAGCTGAGATTTCTGGTAGTTCTCGACAAGCCACCATCGAGCGACTTACTACACTGTTTACTTGGCCACAGCTTTAGGGTCAAAATACGGGACCTCTCCGTGCGGCGTCACTCGAATAGCGTGACGATTTCCAGGTAGGTAGTCGAACGTCGCGTAGTGGAAAGTGGAGCGGTTGTCCCAAATAGCCACGGCATTCTTCGTCCAGCGGAAACGCACCTGAAACTCGTGACCTTCCGTAACGTGCTGGTAAAGAAGTTTCAGTACAGCATCTAAAACAGAAAAAAAAAAACGTTAGCAAACAGAACCTCTCAAGCGCCACTGGATATCTAGAATTTCTTACCAGACTCCGCCTTCGAGAGCTGCACAATACGCTTCGTAAAGGCAGGGTTCACGTAGAGACCACGACGTCCGGTCACAGGATGGGTACGCACAACCGGGTGCTCGAATTCCACCGGTGGACGACGAATCGTCTGACCGCGAGCTGCAGCCGCAGTAGCTTGAGGCTAAGTAAAATAATATACTAGTGAATAAGATAATCACAGATAAGATGACCGTATAATATAATGCACTTACAACGCCCGTGTGGATGGCTGTGAGGCCACAGATGAACTCTCTCATTGGGGGCGTGAGGCGATCGTACGCTTCGTAGGCCGAAGCCCATAGGGTGTCACCACCGACCGGAGGGTTCGTCAGCACCTTAAAGCTTGTGTACGACGGAGGTTGGCGCTCGTTGGACACATCGGTGTGCCACGCGTTAAAAGGGTCATACATTTGACGTTTGAGGAATCCCTCGCTCGTCTCCACCGAGTTTTCCACTACTACAACCTCGTGGTGATCCTTTGGGTGGCCCAAGTTCTGGTGGACGTGTAGAGGGCCATAGTAGCGTCCGAGCTCCAGTTGCTGTTCGATGTTGATCTCCTGGTCACGGAAGAAGACAACGCCCCTATGAGCGATCAGCAGAGCCAGCTCGTCACGCTGTGCATTCGTGAGTTCGTGTAGCTGAATACCGGCCAGTTCGGTGCCGATCTTAGGGGCCAGGTGCGTCACCGTCGCGTCCTTGAGCAGGTTCTTGAACGTCGGGTCAGCGTTGAGCGCACGGTCTTCCACGGGTAGAACGGGGATCGGGTCGAACTTGGTCTCTGGGTATACACTGAGCAACTCAGGGTGGTCGAACTTGTAGTGTTCTACCTCTTGATTTAGAGTGTTTTTGATAGCCACAGGCTTGGCGTCCGTCTTGTTCGAGTCGTTCTGGTGTTGAGGAGCCATAGTAACTACTTGGTAGTGGTGGTTAAATTGAAAAATGATTTCGGAGTACGAGTTCTAATGCAGGACACTGCGTGTGCTTGCGTTATTTTGCGTTACAACCATGTCAGGCCAGTCGCCACGTACTTGGCAGTACGAGAGTTGAGCATGTACACAGCTAGTCGTCCACATGTCGAAGATGATACCGACGCCGAGATCTTGTTTTTACCCTCAACGTAGATGCGCTGAGGATCTCGGTGGCGTTACAATGACATAAGCCATTCGGTCATATTCGATTGGGTCACTGTGAACGCCAATGTGGATCGGAGACCGGTCTCCGTTGGATGTTGCAGTCCGGCGGTCTAATAGAGACTCGAGGTCTCGTGATACAGCAGAACCACCGCAATGCCTTTTCTGCATTTTGATTGGACGACAGGTAGCGAATCATAGACGAGGACAGACTCACGTATCCTTTCCACTTCAACATGCACGACTAGGAAGATGGACACTGTCGAGGAAGATATTGCACGTATTCAACTTGGCTTACACGCCTGATCGATCAAGTGCACACGCATAGGAAGATCACTGCTTTGAGTTCTGACGCCGGTTGCGTCGTTTTCGGGTTTGAGTGAATCCTCACGCTTTTCTACTCGGAATTCACAAGTATCGCTGAAAAACCCTGGTGTAAAGCAAGTGAGTGCGAGTACTTGGAATGTTATTGTCAAAATGCGTTGCGCGCGACTAGCTCGAATGGAGCGGCTGGCAAAATAGACGGTGAAACGCCGGTCAGGTAGACAATGCGTGATGAAATCCTCGCGTTCCGATGTTTAAGAGAGCATTTTTGAAGAAAACAAACGAGACACAGTAGTTCGATGTACACGTACCTATAAATCTAAAGCCAACCGAAGTGCTCTCCTCGATTGGAGGCTCGAAGGATTCGAGTCGAAGTTCACCCGGTGCCCATCCGCTGGTGACAGCTTGATGCTTTTAGGTCTCAACATGTGGTACACTGTTGAGTTCGTCTTGACTATGCAGAGAGAGAGATTGCTTCCAAGTAAGTCGTTTACCAGAAAAGCAGCTCGATTGGCCGTAAGTTAATCCCTGACTAGCCAATCACAAGTACCAGAGCCACTTACACTTCAACACGGTGAGCGGGGACGGCTTATTAATCGTCGAAATGTATTGAGGAACGCCAGAACCTGTCACGGAGGCGTCAATAGCTCAGAACTAGCGCTAGTATGTCAAAGAATAGAGTTCAAATCGGTATTGAGTTCGCATTAGTTCATTTTCGATTTCTTCCTCGCTTGCAAAGATGTCCAAGGTGCAATCGCCAATTCTAACGCCGCAGTTAACCCCGTCCGTCACGGGTTATATCAACACCAAGCTATGGGACGAACGACCTGTCCGATACGCTGCCAACGTTCTCAAGCACGTGTGCATCTTCCTGCTGATCCTTACAGCATGTGAAGAAGTCACGAGCTTCGCCATCGGCCAGTCGCTCAAGAACTTTTTCCAGAAGTTGGGCTGGTCGAACAAAGGCTCTACCTCCATGAAGCTCACGTACGATTCCTTCAGCCAGTTCATGTGTATCGTGGCTGGGTACATCGCTGACGAACGTCTAGGCAAATTCAAGACGCTGTTGTCGGCTGCCACGTTGGACTCGTTTGGTCTTCTCTTCCTTGTGATCGCCGCTCTTCCAGTAGTCTTGGACAACCACCTCGGAGTTAGTAAGGCGATCTTCAACATCGGTCTCTTCCTCGGCGTCGCAGTCTCTCAGATCTGTCTACGATCACTTGTGATCTCGTACGGAGGCGACCAGTTCTCCCCTGCCGCCCCACCTTCGGAGAAGGCGTTGTTCTTCAGCATTCAGTACTGGGTTGCCAATATCGGAGCATTTATCGGCTACGCGGTGTTCCCGTCGGTGTCAATCCACGGCTTTGGTGCGATTCCAGCGGACTATGGCTACGTCAGCGTCTACCTCGTAGGCTTCGCTATGTTGGTGATCTTCGTGGCGTTGCTTTGGTTTACTCGCAAACGCTACGTGAACGTACCTCCAACCAAACAGTCGGTTGCTCTAGTGATCAAGATAGTGCTCAATCATGCCAAAAAGAACTTCAACGCTCAGATGGTCGTGTTTGGTACGATCCTGTACATTGCTGCGTTCCTGCTCAACATCCTGGCGTCGATCCTGTCCGACCATGGTGAGGTGGGTCACAACATATCGTACGCTTGCGGTGTGATGATCGTCATCGCTACGATCCTTTGGGTTTACTTTGGTAAGAGCTCCGAGTTCATGGAATCCGCTAAAGATACCGTCGGTGGCCGATTCGACCCCGAGCTTGTGGACGGAGTGAAGCAAGTCATTCGTATTCTACCATTCAACGCTTTCAATGTGTTTTGGTGGGTTTGCCAGAACCAGCGCGGCAACAACCAGTCCATCGTCCAGCAGACTGATACTCGACTTGGTAGCGGCCCATTCTCGTCTCAAATGCCCGGCCCAACCGTTCAGATGTTCAATCCGATTGGTGTCTTAATCTTCGTTCCTTTAATGGAGAAAGTCGTGTACCCATTGTACGAGAAGCACGCTGGAAAGCCTGCAAGTCGGTACGGTAAGGTTCTTGCTGGTTACTGCACGGCCGTGGTGGCTATGATCTGGACGGGTTGTTACGAGATCATTCGTCGTAGTACTTCTCCGCTTACCTACGTCGACTCGAACGGTGTGACGCAGTTCATGATCAATGATGACGGTAACCAGGTGATGAACGACATTCCATGGTGGACAGCTATCCCACAGTACTTGCTCGTTGCGCTAGCTGGTGTGATGATTGCCATCCCGTCCTATGATATTAACTACTCAGAGGTGCCTCAGAGTATGCGCAGTACGTCCATCGCGCTTGGCTTCTTTGTGAACTCGATGGGCAGCACGCTACTCTCTATCATTGTACTGCTCTTCGGTAAGTATATCCCAGCCGACCTGAACAACGGCCACATCGAGTACATGTTCTTCACTCTGGCGGCGGTTATGGTCGTCAACATCTTCTTCTACGTCATTGTGATGAACAAGATGCAGCTGGGAATGATTCCGCGCGTGAAGAAGGCCGGTGAAAAAGAAGACGAGGAGGAAACTCGGCGTGCGGCTGTGTAAGTTTTCGGAGATACTATTAGTATTTTCGGGTTGTTATGTAATGAATCTCCCTTTATTTCTGTGTACATTTGGGACCCGGACTTCGCAGTTCGGAGGAAACGAAATGTCTCTGTCTTTTACGATGGGTTTTATGAAGAAAGATCACCTGCACCGCTTATGGTATCTCCAGTAGTAGGTTTTATCTGAAGTCTCAACGCGCGCCATTGAAACCACAGTTTTTCCAATAGATCCCGCGAGAGCCAAGATAAAGTGTTCAACTTTTGCCCAATCGAATGCTTGACGATGTGTGTGCACCACGTTCATTAGTTGTTATCCAATCGAAATGCATATAAAAATATGTTTGGCATACCATTCATTTTTAAACTGGAACTTTAAACAAGACACTTCCTTGAAGCTAAAACCCGCAATAGGACCTACGTGGGAAGCTTAAAATTTTTGACCAGGTGCTAACACACTTCTTTTAGGATAAGGGAAAAAAAACCAGTTGAGGGCCGACGCAAAATTTAACCAATGATGTCATCTCGTTTCAAATACCAATCTCGTATTGGAAAATCAACACTAAATACGAAACCTTTCAATCTATATCTTCGGATTTGGTGTTGAGCACACACAAAACTGTTGGTGTCAAAAGTATGGCAGTGTTCTCTGGATTTTATATCCAGAGTCCTATGCGGGATCCGAGCAACGTACCAATGCGCTCATAATTAAATCCCCTTTGAATCGGATCAGGTACAAGTTGAATTTGCATTT